ACCACGCTTGTCATCTACATAGTCATGAGTTTCGCCAAATCTGAATCTAAGCAACCGCGCAGGGCTCCACAGATCAGGAATTAGACACCCACGGAGGATTCTCCTAATACTTCTCCTTCAATTCAAAAGATGTCCTGCCTATAATTAATGGAAGCGCACATAAGGGGGGGGGGGGTACGAATTCAATCTGAAAAAAAGTGTATTACTGAAACGTGGAAATTGAAGATGAGCAAGAAAAATCGAGGAAAGTTTGAATGTCATGCACCAGGCGATGCGGAAAGAGCTGCTTCTTTTCAAAAAAGGAAATTGTCAGATGCAAAATCTGCATTACTGTGCATACGTATCTGAACAAACATTAATTTACTTAAATGCTTAATGATTCTGAATGACAAATGCTTCATGGTACAGATTATATAAATGATTCACATATTGCTAAATTACGCCCTGAATGGACATCAACTCCAACAGATTCCTCTTATGAGAACTTTTTGATTGAATCTCACGATGATTTACGGTGTATTTTTTGGTGGACCACAATGCACTTGATCAATGTTTCCTGTTTAGGTCTACGTGGGCCTGGCCTTATTACTGTGCATCGGACTGACGATCGTGAGTGCGGCTGGGCTGTGCCTCTCCATTGGGTACATCCCGACGGAGATTCACAATTTAATGTCCTTCCTCATCCTCGGGATCGGCATCGACGACACGCTCGTCATCATCCAGGTGACTCGTTACGACCTCCATGTGTCTCTAAGCTCGTCTCTCGTGGTTTTCGTCCACTCGCGTTGCTTGAAGTATGAATGAAGGGCAAAGCCTTGCAACGCAGCTCCGTGATAACGGAAGCAATGTACCCTAAAGCCTAAACAATATTTTTTTAAAAGAAAAACTTAGCATTTACTTAGGGAAATACCACCTTGTTGCATTCAGCGTCCCGTTTCTTATTTCAAATTTTTTTTCTTGAATAATCAGGATTTCAACTTCCATCGAGAAGGAAATCTCACAACAGGCTATGGAAGAAAAGCAGGGATTTCAGATGTCATAAAAATTGCCATTCACATGCAGAGGGATACCCTGGAATCTGACGAAAATTCGTCGATGATGGACGATGCGGGATTTCATTCTACTCTAACATTAAAACATAAGCAGAAAAAAGTGATTTAAGTATGAAAAAAGGGTAAGATTAGGTATGAAGAAAAGAAATTGTAATTATCTTATTGCAATGTAAGATTCTGAGAAAATAACATATGCTGAAGTTGCTTATGGAAACAAGTGCGGAGATATTATAGCCTAAGAAATTATCTATAGTTAGCGATCTTATTCAATCCTTGTACAAGATTTACACTCAATTTCATAAGCTCGTCATTAATTTCAACCTTTGTATGTTAATAGATAGGCGTTCTAAAATTCTAACTACTGGCGCCCATCATGAGACGGGAAGGAGGAAGTAAATGTTTTTCTTTAAGCTTTCTTCCCTGTTTTAACTCTGATACTTGGGGACGTGCTAAGTCGTTTGCGGGTTGGAAAACGGCAGCTGGAGGCCCTCAACCTACTACGAGTGGGTTCCCATTAGCTCTCTTTCCACAACGTGGAAAGAGAACTATTGACCCACAACATACGTACCACATAGGTATATTTCTACCTCGATTATTGCCATGCGCAAAAAATTCGATGGACGTAACCGAAAAGCGATGTTGCTGTAGTGCCTGGAGAAGGTGGCGTCGAAAGGAAGGACTTTGAACCCGGAGGAACGAGTGGGAGAAGCGTTGAGGCAGGCTGGAGTCTCCATCACCATCACGTCCATCACGGACGTCTTTGCCTTCACCATTGGGGCCACTACGGTCTGTTCGCATCTTCGTCTTCCCGCCTTCCTGCACTGTTGTTATAACTATCAGAAGCGCAATTTTATCAGGTCAATCTTTCTTGCCTCCGTACTCTCTTAAATATACTAAACTAGCGGGTTTGTTTGTTCTTTAGGCAAACAAACAAACTCGACGTGGCATTGAAATGACGATTGTGTGGAATCAATAAACCTATTTTCCGCTCCAGTTATTCTACGTTTCTGGCGAATATTCCAACTGTGTTAGACCTCTAATAACTTACACAGTGCCCCATACTTGACTGAACATGAGTAGGCTTCGTGTCCGGGCCGCTCTGACTCGACCTGTGCAGCCTTACTATCAGACGCGGGACCTACAAGATTATGCTCTTCTAGGCCAAAAAGGAAAAGTAGAAAACCAATCTACAGTAATTTCTGTGACAGGAAATGCTTCATTTCATCATCATCGAATGATGATTGCATGGCTTGCGTCTAGACAGATTAAGAACTACAGGGTATGTCGATTGCGAATGCCACGATCTTTCCTGTTCTTCAGAAAACTCCTCAATTATTGATGTTTATCATCAGACCAGAGAGTACCAGTGCTCCAGGGCTTTTGCATATACACGAATGCCGGGATTTTCATCGTCTACGTCCTGACCTTGATATTCATGGTCCCGATTCTATCTCTGGACGAAAGGAGACGAGACAGCGGGAGGGAAGGATGCTTGTGTATTCGCTTGCCAGCCGACTACAAGAAGAACCGTTGCTCCCAAAAACTCCTGCTCGAAGCCATTTTCCGCAGGATCTTCGGGCCATTGCTCGTCAAAACTCCAGTTAAGGTTCGTCAACTTCACACGTTCGAATGGACAGAAATTTTCACAATTTCACGAGGATGTAGTGATAGTACAAGTGAATGTCTTTCAGGTAGTTGTGGTGCTGCTTACGATGAGTCTCTTGGGTCTCAACTGTTGGGGATTGTCTGGGTTGAAGAATGACTTCGACAAAACCTGGTTTTGAATCCAGGATATCAGAGAGACTTCGTGTCCGCTGTGCAGGATCTATTCCCTGGAAGTGGCTATAGAGCTGACTTTTATCTTGGTGAGTCTATGGGGACATGGGATGCTGATTAGGTGCAGTGACTTTATTAATGAGAAAGGAGTTTTGGCAGGGAATGCGGATTACTTCAGGGAGAAAGAAGCCCTGGAAGAGTTATTCAATAGACTATCGGCTCTTCCTGGAATTAAGAATGGATCTAAGGAATTCTGGTATCATTCTTTCCTGGAGTATCTTAAGGAAAAAAAAGGTAAGCCTATCCGAATATTGAAAGTTTTCACAAAAGTAGTGCAGTTTACCCTTACAAAAGTCCACCTACCATGCGGATTTTGAAGCAGGTGGATTTTCCTAGGCGGTTTTTCCACCTGTTGGAGCGATGTGCACCTGTGGGAAAATCCACCCGGGAGGGAAAATCCATCTTGCTGGATATCTCTGTGCATGAATGGGTAGTTGTATTTCCAACGGCGGGACGTACACCTAGTTCCAAATCCAACCCTGTCCACTTGGTTGTTCACCCAGGTGGATGGGGGTGGATGTTTTGTAAGGGTAACCCAATCAACTTCTGTTGAGGGACCGCTGGGGAACTGTGGCTTTAGACTTGGCTCAATCCTCACCTGCGAAACTGTTGTATAATGTACGCTTTAGGGAAGGGGCATGGCCAGTCGACTTGTCTTGAAATTTTGGGGGATTGTGCGGAAAGGGTGTACTTTGCATGAGAAGACGGTGAAAGGGCTGTCCAAGCAACGAAGTCTCGGTAATCCAGACCGAGAACCTGTGATTTAGCCCTTAGCTATGATTTAGCCGGATTTTTGAGAACCTTACCAAGTGGGAACTCATTTTCTCTTTTTTCTGACGGAAAAAATTGCACTCTTAGAGTATTGCAAAATGCATCCAATCACTAATTTTTTTTTTTACCCAAGTGAAAAAACTATCTCAGTTCTTTCATCAAATGAAATCGTAGAAATCCCAATTTGCGGAAAAAAATTACTTTCCCGGAAGCAGGGAATGTTTGCTCTTGACGGAAGGGAGATGATGCTCCCATCATCATCTGTCATCATCATAATGATTATGATGCTCTCAACGATGAGAGCATTCACCCCTACCCGATTCCAGGGGGATGAAAAACTGATCATGATATGTTTGGGAGACGAGAGAACCGCTCCTAAAAAAAAGTGAAGACGGAATGAAGGCGTTCGGATTAAACGGAGAGTACGGTATCTATGGGATTTCTGCAGGGATAAATCCATTTGTCCGAAATCGGCCACGCTGGTTCCATGGCCCCAGTCCGACTGGATCCACGGCAATTGCCGGACATCCTCGCGCCAGCCCATAGTAAGGAGGGAAAGGGAGAGAAGTGGATTCACTGGGCATGGCTCCGCGGTGGGAGAGTGAGGCGGTTTCGCTTCTCTTCCTTGGACCGGCTGAGTGGCAGGAGAGGATGGGAATTCGAGAAACAGAAAAGGGGGGGGTGAGATTATAATCTTTCTCGGTCTTGGAGTCGGACTATTAAGGGATGACACTCCTTGCCAGAAATTCAGCCTGGTAGGAATGAAAGAAGAAATTCATGCACAGTCGGGTTTGGCTGCCAAATGGTGAATGGACAGTTTCCTTGCGCTATAAAGTCACAGCTTGATATCAAAATTGGGTTTTGTAACAATCTCATGCATTGTGTGAAAGTCATTCGCAGTGCTGGAAGTGAGTGAATGAGGCCGATTGTGGAGTAAATTTCGAAATATCAGTCGCTGCTTCAATGGAAAAATATACAAACTTTATCTGAATATGAAAAAAGTGTAGACATAATGCTCATGTGATTGTGGCAGCTGGCATTAAACGTATCCACGCGGTATACTTCACATTCAGCATTAGGTCAGTTTTTCATATTAAAAAAGGAAACGCTCTGCCAAGTGGGTCGAGTCAATCTCAATTCCATTTGTCGAGATCGGGCTGCCAAAATCGTTAGTTTATTTCTCCGGTTTGTATGCTCGGTCACCAGAAGATCTGTAAGTACGAAATTTCGGTCTGTGAAGAATGAATATACTGTGGAGTACTTATATAGAGTCCGCAAAAAGAAAGAGAGCGTTCTGCCAATACCACGTATGAATTTTATGCGTATGTGGGAGCTTGAGTAATGACAGGGTGAATTTAATATAAAGGACAGCTATCCGTTTGAATTCTTTCTCTGAGACAGTATTACCAATATATTTATATAGAATTTGTGAAAATTTCGTCATGTGAGTTGTATTTTTCAGAGAACTATCCGAAAACCGAGGAAGGATTCAAGAACCAGCTTTCCATTTTTTTTATCTCCACCAACAGGGGACGGAAATTCATACCCGAACTTAAATACACTGGGAATCTCTTAACGGACTTCAACCTCACCGTGAGTGCATGCTCTCCCTTAGCACGAGACTCATCGTTCAGATCAGGAAGCTGTTGAATGTGTACCGTACCGTTCAGGCTTCGAGAGGGAGGTACCAACACATTCATTTCAACAACGGGGACGAAAAACGACGGGGACTCCGCGAGGTGGAAGAGGTTCTCCACGGAGTCCAATTCAAGGGGAGAGATCCATTTAGAGGAGCTCTCACTTTAGAGTACCTCGTCATCCGATCGAACGAGGCAAGCGGTTTCCGCACTTGACTCTGCACTTATGTTGCTCGATTGAACCTTTTTCCGTGTGCACGTAATTTGCATGTAGCATTCAAATGTGCCGGAGTATGATTTACAGGGACAGTGTCTTTGCGATGTGCTGAATGTCTATTGGCCCCATTGGATTTCATGGTCGTGAGTTGCTTTCATAGGAATAGTTCCATCTGTTTTTTTAAATTCAAGATCTCAACCGTTTTAGATTTTGTAAAGTATTATTGGAATTATTATTCGGATTTATTTTTCATTTACACTAAATTCCAAGTGGAGGTGAAACTATGCGCATTTTTTGCAGTATTAGATAGAGAGAAAGAATTCTCTTGGGCTTATTCTTTTCTTTTTATGGGTTGCATTACATTACTTGGTTTTCATTTCTGTGGGCACCGCAATTGAGATTCTGTCCGAGTATAAAATTACCATAGTCAAACAGCAAAATGTATTCCTGTCTCTACGTGAAACAGTTGGAAACTCGCTCGAGTGCACCGTCACCCCACTTAACAAAATGAGAGAAACGAACAAATTTTGTAACGAACTGCCAACTGCATCTAAGGACGAAATTGCTTGTGTCTTCCACGACAATGTAAATGCCCAAAATGAATATATCTCATTGTACAGATTGACCCATAAGTATATTTACCGAAGGACTTTCTGCAATTCTAATTTCTCATTAACTTAGGTTTGCTACTTATATTACGCGATATTATTGAATTGAATTGGATTGCTTTTATTCCCATGGATTCTGGTCGTCAAACACCTCGCATAAGTTACAGCCCAAAATAATACAAAAAAGACCTATATAAAAGTCTAGGTCAATTATAAAGAGTTTCTCTTAGACAGAAATACAAAAACGATTTCTGAACTTCGATGTGTGATTTTGGATGGCGAGTACCATTTCTGGAAACAGGACCACTCTGTTGTCCAGTGGCTTTTTTATATCTGGTTTCAAAGGATGATCTGCACTCCTTAAAATGCGCATGGCCAAGGCAGTACCTAGAGAATTTACCTTCTCCACAAAATTGGTAACATGCATCTTGCTGTCCGTGTTTGATACAGAGGCAAGCCTCCGCAGCAATTTCAATAGCAAGCGTTTGGTTTCCCCAGTGGAATATCTAGCATAGATTGGTAAGGCACATACACGAGGGTTCATGAAGTCTCGATCTATTTTGTTGAAAAACCCAGAATTCCTTCCACCCTTCCACACCCAATCAACACGTGCTGTATGGTGTAGGATTTTCATTAGGGTTCTTCCGTTGTATTGGGCGCTGGTAAGATCCAAGTTGGAATATTGCATCCAGTTTTGGAGGCCTACAAATAAGGGTGAATTGTTGGCGCTCGAAGTACAGAAGAGGGCTACACAAAATGATAGAAGTTAGGGGACTTCCATACGAGAAGTGTTTAGAAGTTTTGGGACCGTACTCGTTCAAGAGAAGGTTAAGGAGGAACGATCTCATCCAGGCTTTCAAGATAATTCATGAATAGATCATGTTGAGTGTGGTAGATTCTTCCAGTTAGATGGCAGCAAGAGAACGAGAGGTAATCAACTCAAGTTGCGAAAACCGCAGGTCAGGTTGAGACAGGACTTTTTCACCTGTAGAGTGGTGAACGCATGGAATGCGTTGGACGACGACGTAGCGGCTACCCCTTCCATGACTATTTTAAAGAAGAAACTAGATGCTTTTATGGACAAGCCAAAAAGGGGGGCAAGTTGACTCAAGGGACTAGGCAGTAAGCAACTAGGATATGCAAAAATAAATTTAAAAAAAAATACAAAATATTTAGCTTTAAGAGGAGTTGGCCAACACTATAATTAATGAACGCTCGACCTCGACACGTGGTATCCAGATGGGTGTTATCGCCTCTTGATGCCACTAAACTACCTTGATACCTAGGAGAACCGGGGAAGGTAGTCTACTCAGATCACAATCTCTCAGAGCACGGCCCTCGCCAGCGCGATATCTCCCTTCCTTTTTTCTGTCGAAAAATTCCAACTGATCGCAGGTGTTGATATATACGATCTGGCAGTTCGTGTTCGTTGGAACCACTACAACAGCTCACATTTGGAATATGTGTATCTGTCACAAGTCTCTTGGGTCACAGAGCAAAAGAAAAAATGCTGCGAGGAACAAGTAAGGCTGCTGCCAACCAGGGCGCTGCCATTTTGTTTTTTTCTTGTTTTTATTTTGAGATCCTGTTGAAATTTGTTTTGTGCTGAAATGGCCGATGGACTTACCAAAGGGCAAAAAACCTTAATCATTGGTTCATTAATTGGGTACTCTTAATTATGGGCCTCCCTCCCAGTCAGCAATTTATCCCCGCGCGAAGCGTGGCTTCTCTCCGAAGTATGCGTGTATCAAGCATGGGCCAAGTACATCAGCCCACACATCCATCCATGGACCATGGGCGGCATGAGCATGGGCCGTAGAGGAAATGTCCGCGTTATATGTGGCACCCTCATCGGTCATGGGTCAAGTGTGGCTTATGTGTGGGGCACGTTATTGACAGAAATAACCTGGTTGGTCTGTCTGCACGTGGAAGCAAGGCACAAACGTGGTGTATGAATGTGCCGCTCCATATACAGGTATGTCCACTTTTTCTTCGGCAACCCGTAACCTACAATGGTGGAGACATTTCTATCTACGGAAATAGTACTGCTGTTACTGGCTTAATCTCCTGCTCAAGGAAGTGTTTGACCCATGGATGGGCAGGAGGCATAGGACAATCCAGGATTTAATCTACCCCTGAAACGTACTAATAATAGTATATAGTATTATAGTATGCTACCGTATTCATGAAAGCATGCGCAAATGTTTCCTCAAGCCTTCAGTCGTATATTGTGCATGTGCGTTGTACATCCATGTCTGCCAAGTGTGGGCCAAGGATGCAAAAGTTTCCAGTGCCACACATGGTATAACAACATAACAGCCATACAACCAACTCCCGCACATACGCCGACCTAAGGCCACACATGCGCAGCTGATTGGGCGGTACTCTCCACAACGTCCATCCCCTGATGCCGACAGCCAGATGTGAATGAGTGCGGTTTAGTACGGATATGACTCATACTGGCATCAACAGATATAACGGAGACGCTGAATTGCACACTGGCTTTGCTGTATTGTGATTTGCATTTTACTCCAAAGGATGTATCCGAGGAGCTGCTGAGGAATCTCAGTCTGACTTTGGTTGGAATGTTCGTGGTGACATTGGTGTTGGTTGGGAACCTGCAAGTCTCTATTTGGGTTTTCTCCTGCATTCTTTTCACCCTGATCGGAATCGCAGGCAGCATGCGATTCGCCGGTCTTACCATCGAGCTCATGTCGTCAATTCTTCTCATCTTGTCTGTGGGCTTGGCGGTCGACTATTCCACGCACATCGCTCACAAATTCTTTGTCACTCATGGCGATTCTAAAGACGGTACTGAAGGAGTTCTACTTCCAGTTTTCTGCGTAGGAGTAATAAGTATAATGTATAAGTATACGTTTTGTTCACTTCATAGACCGAGTGAGAATCACCTTGGCAGAAATTGGTCCTCCCATTTTCAATGGAGGCTTTACGACAATGACGGCTTTTGTGTTTTGCTTTTGGAGCAAAAATGATGTATTCCAGATTACCCTAAAGGTAAGGTTCCATATACCCCTCTCGGCAACAAATTTCTTTGAAGCATGCCAGCAAAAGCTTTATTAATGTTTTTTTTTTTGCGGTAGGTCATCTGGTTTTCGGTGATATATGGGTTGTATCACGGATTGGTTTACCTGCCGGTGATGCTGAGCTTGTTCGGTCCACAACCTTTCGCTGACTCACTGCATTCAACCGATGATAGCCCTACCCAGAGCGACCTTGATCCCGCTCTAGAGGAGGCTCCAGAGAAGCCTGACGCCAGAAAGACAAATCCCTCAAGCCTCAATGTAAGTGCAGTTTTGGAGAGTGTAGAGGAGGGGGTGCTGAGTGTAGGAGCAAAGGAAGGTTTTGGAAGACTTGGCGAAGAAGGGAATTTGGACAGTTGAACTCCTAATCCCCCTTGGTATACTGCACTGCAATCTTTATGCAATTATCAGAAAGTCCTCACTTCGATTTATTTAGACTCTTAGACTCTTCGATTTTTGAACGGGGAATTTCCGATAATGCTGCTTTATTTCCAGGAAATATCACGTATTTTCCTTGGAATAAAGCCGCATTATCGGATAGTTCTCAGTTTAAAAAAATCCACCCTTAGCCATTTGCTTATCAGTTTCATGTTAAATTGCCATTGAAGAGCTCTGTCATGAAAAATTTGGGAATTTTCCCTCCCGAAAAAAAGGCAAACAAGTTCTTTTTTTCTAGTATTCCGTCTACATCGATATTGAGTCGATTATGGCTTGAAGGCGGTCATATTATTCATCTATGTTTTTCCAGAGAAAGTTTGTCTGGAAGAACAACAGAGAGGAGTATCCGATCGGAAATGATTCAGGACGGATGGCAAACGGGGAAACTGCGGGGATGGAACCGCCTTCAGTCTCTCCAAGACGCGACGAAACCGAGTACTGTACGGGGACATCGTATCGTCCCAGTGTCGGCTGATTTTTTCCTGCTTTAAAACCATATATGTGATGCCATCTTCCGTGACTGGGAGCACCATCGAGACTCTTCAGGACAAGCTGGGAGTTCAGGGGAGATCGCGGCGGGGAGGCTTTGGGCTTGTTTTCATTTCTCGTGTTAAGCTTGTAACGTGTGCAATGCTTGTGCTTTGAGACATTCTGGAAATCTGCTACTCTCCGTGAAAGAAAATAATGTGACCATGACTGTTAATCTCTTTCAAGTCCCCTACTGAGGGAAAAATGTCTCAAAGAGTAAGCAGAGAGATATGGAAGCAGCACCAGCCTCGCACTATGCGTCCAAATGACTCCATCTGTCTTCCTCGATGATAATAGGAATACTCGATTCCCAGAGTGGCGTATGTACATGGTGGTCCACAATTGTCTCCCCAAAAGTAAGAGCTTATTACTCAAGAAGTATACATCCGATTTCAATTATTTATGACTCAAATGATAGTCAATTCAATGTATTTTGAACGTGGGAAATTTCAGCATTCCATAAGAAACTAGAAGAAAGTTACGGCATAACAAATGAAAGTACCCATATCGTGCAACTAAGGTCTGTAAATACCACAATCCCATCTGAATTTCACAATTCATTCATGGGTTTTTCATGCAACGGGAGGGATTATCAGTCATGGGTGACCTTGGTATCCTGCATAAGACGAATACTGTCATTTGGTTTGTTAATTTGAAGAGAGAAATTTGTGCAGTGAAAATTTAAAAAATTTCTTCAGTTCTTGGGTCCAAATGCCTCAGTTCCTGTTGAGATCAGGAAGGCAACTCATATGTGGTTTCTAAACCTGAAGAGATTCATTGACGGACCTATAACAACCTAGATATGCTGAAACAGGCCATTAGAGAAGCCTTCACCGCAGTAGGACCAGGGATGATTGAAAGAATCCCGCTGGCATTCAAAGAGAGACTGCACCAAGTCATTGACGATTATGGAAGTCATATAGAACACTGGTGATTTGGCGGTTTTCATTTGTGAGGATGTAACTTTGTCCTATTTTCTTGTGGAATGCTGAAATTTTCGACAGTAAAAATATTTTGAAATGACTATCGTTTGAGTCATATTTCATTGAAATCGGATGTATACTTATTGAGTAATAAGCTTTTACTTTCGGGGAGACAATTGTGGACCACCCTGTATACACGGTGAAATATGTCCATGAAACCAGAGGGCCTAAGCTTCTTGCGCAGAGCGCAACTGGACCATCTCTAAGGCTCTCTTCTCGCGACTGCACCGCAGAGGTCGAATGTCTAACGCAAATGACTGCAATTTTTTTAACCTTATCGGGACGGCATCCGTAACGAGCAATATCAATATAGCTGAAGAAGCGCAGACAGTACTTGGGAATTTAGCACCCATTATACAAAAATTCCGTTGGACCTTCTGCATAAAACGCTGGTAGATCTGTTTCGAGAATTTTTGCCTATGGGCTGAAGTTACAAAGATTACTACATTGGTGTGGAATTCTTTTCAAATTTCCTTAAAACGAGCCTACAGAGTAATTTTATTATCATCATGGGTAATAATGTGTTTCGCTAGTAAGTCTGTGGATGGCCTACTTCCACTCTGTGGGACTAGGGCTATCCTCTGAGTCATAGTCCTGAGTTAGTCCCTGGCCTGACAGGACAGATTTCAGGGAATGGGCATGGGCCATTCGCCTTCTATAGTCAACTGTGCCTCTCCGCTTCCACTGCCTTCTCCTTTCCCTTTCTTATTTTTTCTGTCTATCAAGGGACAGTTAAGACAGTTGATTTTGGTTTGCATCCACAGGCTCGGATTAAAACACGTGATCCAATTTACCCAATAAATTCTCCCAGTTTTTGTGGAATTTTCTCTTTCTCCACTCATTTCTTATCGAGCCATGGATTTCGGATAGATCTCGGATCTTCGGATGGATTTCGGATAGGCACGGATTCCACTAGAGCTTAATTTCTTCATACCTGTCGGTTAGATGTTGTCTGCTCTCCTGAGCATCGTCAGTTCCATTTTCACAGGATGCTTTGCACTGGTGTCCACTTCCTATGGGAGTCGTATCAGCGTGGCCAAAAACTAGGGCTTAAGTGGCTAAAAACTGGGGTGTTTACCCTATTCCTCATAAGGAAATTCCACACCCAGCCTAATCCACACGCGTGGACCACATGCGTTCCACACGTGTGGAAAGAGTGTGAATTTTTTAGAAGGGGCAGGCGCCTTTTCATTCAACTATCAACTCGCCTCTGAGTCCCTCAACTCTCCTCTGCCAACTACGATGCGAATTTCGTCCTCCGACGAGTTGTGAATAAATTAGACCACCGGGAAGAGGGACGAAAATGAAGTGAGTCAACGGCTGCACCGAATTGGTCGTTCGTTAATTCCGTGGTGGAAGATTTGAAATCTTGAGTCGATTCTGTCTCTGAATCAAATATGAAGTTGATCTTGGGACCTCTGTATAGCATCAATACGGGACCAAAATTTTTGCAAGTTTACAGCCTGCATAATCTATTGGTTTTCGAGCAGCAAATTGCGTAAGCATGTTGTCATGGGTTTCATGAAATAGCGATTCATCGCGTGACCCCTTGGAGATATCGAAGGCCGCCTTTCTCTTCGGCGAAAAATTTCGCATCGGTCACGATGATGTATCACCGCCTCCGGGACTTCGTCCGGTCGAACGTGGTTTTCAGTTATTTATTCACCGAGTGAATGTCGTGTAGTTGCGATCTATCGTGAGGCGAATCGTGAGGTGAGTGCTAAAATGTTGTCGGTACTACCGAGAACATTTTTGGTGAGGTGGGATCCGTGCTCCGTTTTTTTTCGAGATGGTTTACCGAATTCGCATGACAGCAGAAGCGAACGCACGTGCGACATCGAAAAGTTCGTGGACTGAACGCCTCATGGTCTAACCAAGAAATTTAGCAGCGCGCTTTTTGTGGTCTGCCTGTCGTTGTTGAGCCATATTTGAGTGGCGTAGCTCCAGGCAATACATTAGCACTGTCACTGACCGAAATAAACGCTTTAACAGCAGTGGAATGGGAAGTGGCGACCCACCTGCTTTCGACGGAGTATCTGCAAGGCGCGCTTTTACACCCGGTTGATACAGGCGCAGCACACTTCAAGGATCGCTCATGCTAGTCGTGGGGCTGGGGTCATCCCATAAGCTGTCCTTGAGTCTTCCTCCTGCACCATAGAGTAGAGAGTGTAACTACAGAAGCGACACGCCGCTCGAATCCCATTCATTGACAGGGTCGCAATATAGATGTCACTGGCAATCCTCCACCTAGCGTGCGCACATCAACAACTCTTCCATGGCCGAGCAGCGGACCCAACGAGACGCGCGAATTACGTTGAGGGATTCCAAAGAGAGTCTTATAATAGAGGCTTCCCCCACCGAGAAGGGCGGCGAGTCTCTCCAGGCACCTCTGCCAACTTAGGACTGGAGTCGTACGTGTTAGTGTCAGCAGGCCCATAGAGAAGGGGAGGGCAAAGGAGGGAATTAGCACCGGGCAGCTTTTCTATTGCTTTCAGCTTTCTCCGATCATTCCTCCTATCTCAGGGCAGAAACTTTTGGATCGCCCCTCGTACAAAACAAACGTATCGCGACCACAGGTCGGCTATGACAACCGACCAATCACGATCGACTCGAGCTTCGACCAATCGCAAGCGCTCGAAGTGACGTCATAGCATTTCCCATTCCCCGGCTTTTCTACATACCCCCTTACAGATAAAACCAGCTGGCGCCCGGCAGCCAATGACAGCACGACGCAATGCACGAGCGAAAACTCTCTCCATTCGTATGACCTCCCTCATATCGTAATCTCCATTCTTGTGCTATTTTCCTTCATTCCTTGAGTTTGGTATCGTGTGTCCATGTATACCGCAACAAGGAAATTATATATATGTAGTTAAATTTCCTGGGGAAAGTATGAATATGCCTGCGATCGGCCTAACGTTACACGTCCTCGAGGACCATGGATTCACCCTTATAGGAATGATTCTTTGGTCATACGACAGAAGGAGACAAGTCCGCTTTTGACGGAATCGAGCTGACATCATCGCCGTACAGAGTGAGTCGTCATCCGTATTTTGGTCAAACGGGATAAGTCCAACTCCCGTTCCCTCAGGAGAAAACTGCGTGGGTAGCGTAGACGTCGAACAGTCGGGGAGATGAAATAAAGAAGAAGTTCAAAATGTTCCCCTGAGGAATTGCGAAAATGGACTCATCGCCTTCTGCCATATCACTACAGAATTTTAAGTCGAAAATCGAGTTCCTTTTGAAAGAAAAAAGGTATGCCTTGGCGTGACCCGAAGGCAGTTTGTCGGTTAGGCCTAAGCCTAACGTTATCGAATCTCGTAGAGAAGGAGGAGAGGGGGATTGGAGAGAAGGAAAGTAATTGAAAATTGGTTTTCACATTACTTCATGCTACGAAAGACAGACTGGGACATACGCTGACGCATGGAGCGAGTGCAAACATGGACGCGACCATAGAAATAATGGCAGAAGAGCCCTGTTTGATCCCACGGCATGGCAGACGTTCGCTTGGCTGCAGTGCGCTTCACTGCTCAAGATCACGTGATCATGAACCCGGCCTGTGATTGGCTGCACGATTCCGATGGTTTTATCTGTAAGGGGGTAAGTAGAAAAGCCGGGGAATGAGAAATGCTATGACGTCACTTCGAGTGCTTGCGATTGGTCGCAGCTCGAGTCGATCGTGATCGGTCGGTTGTCGTAGCCGACCTGTGGTCGCGATACGTTTGTCTTGTACCTCTCGTGGCAGCGAAGGCCTCTCCAGAGACATCTATATACACTACATGGAGGGATCCCTTCGGGTAGAATCCTGATTAAGCTGCTGCGAAGCAAGCCTCATGGAAATGTTGTTGATAACAAGTCACCAGATGTCTCTGTCGACCCCTTCCTACCCCTTGGAGTGTCGCCTCTAGTTATACTCTATGTCCTGCACCGTGAATGGGCGTCTCCGCGTGGAAAGGGGGGGGGGGACGTGATATCTGTCCCCATTCCTCTCTGTAAAATGTCATATGTTTGCTGTCGTTTGCGCCCGCCACCTGTCTCCTAATTCAGGTACAATCCACCAAGAACTCGCTGTATCGCAGCAGAACAACCGGATGCAGACTAGGTCGACAAGAGCAGACGGTGAACATTGGGAGCGGAGCTATGGTCACGTGATCAGAGGCCTTTGAAATATATCCCCTCCCCTCCATCCGCCCAGATCTTAGAAGTACAGCTCTCATTTCCGCGAAAATCACTAAAGGTTACGGAATCGCAAACG